AATATTACACGTATCTCTAGAACAATATTATTGCCTTTGTAACTCTAATTATTTTACCATTTGATTATTATTCCATTTATCTTAATAGAAGTCTTTAAGGCTACATTTATCTCAGTTTTATAGTCCTTGTCATACATCCCAAAGGTCCTTGCAAACTCTGTGTAGCCTGATTCTGGGACAAGAACCTTATTATTGTCTAATCAGATTAATATAACCAATATTATATAAAATAATAATATTAATCTCCTTAAATCAGGCAACACCTCTGCACCCATCTCTACCCAGCCTGCTTATATACATGTTCCCAGCTGTTACCATTTCTGATAACTCAACATCCTCAACTGAATTGGGCATCCAGCTTAAGTGGTAAGATCCAAGATGATGTTCTGGATGCCTTCTTCAACTGGCCATAAATTCCTGTGAGCTATTACTGGGTATGTCAATTTACCATTTTCATGAATTCTATTTTTGAATACATGCAAAAGAAGCACATTTTTCTATTTTGTGTAACTTATGAACAATTGAGAAAAAAGACATAAGGAGACTAGTCCACAAAACAATGAGAATAAAATCAGCACAGGGATATATTTTAAGCACTGGCCTGTTTAATAAAAATGTATAGCAGCAATTGCTCTGCTCATCTAACTGTTCATGTGAATTGTAACAGGCCAAATTTATCCCTAGGGTAACTCATTAGGCCATAGAATAATTTTGCCTAGTATCTCCAGAGACACAGGTGAATGTCTATGTATATCAGTTTCACAGTCTGTCAACAGTCAAAAGGACAAATATAAACTGTGTTACATACATTGCTGAATTTGACTTTGTATTTGTTGTATTTGACTTTGCAACCCAAACCTTTAGAAAAGGGATACCCTGAAGACTGGGTACCAAATGGGCTGGTACAGCATATTAACTCTGGAGACCTGCAATCAAATTTGAATATAGATCATAAGTAAAATGAAAGGTAGTCTAGTCCCTTGTGAAGAACCATCCAAATCAGAAAAGCCACCGCATTATTCTTGGTAAAGGGTAAAGGTCTCTTGATTAAAGATAATGTAAACTAAAAAAATACAATAAAAGCAGAGGTGTTGCAGTTTTGGATGGAAACTTTCACAGACCCTTCCATACCATGATGGCTTTATGTCTTTGCAAGGAGTCATTTCATGAACATACATCCTCTCAAAAACAAACACTAGTTTTAAAATGACTGTAAATCCACCGCGGAAATGCTTTCCTGCCACAGCCATGAGGCTAAATTCTAGCTTTTCTTTTCCAACTCTTGTTGAAGATGGGTAGAGTGCTCTGCGTGGACCAGCAGAGATTCCCTGAGCCATCCGTTGACACAAGGTAGAGGCAACCTGAAGGCTCAGTGTGGACTGGAGTAGCACACTCACCATTAGTACTTCTTATGGCTAGCACAGAATGAAACATCACATTACAACCAGCATGTCTATACACCAATATCTGTATATATGCAATTATGGTCAGGGGGCTTTCTAAAGCCCCCAAGCTTTCTTGGGCCAGAAGAGAGCTGCCTGTTCTTTAGCACCTCCCTTTCACAGCACTCAATCGAGCAATGTCATCATTTTGCTTGGCTCTTGCAGAAGCCAGTTCACCCTAAATAGACCAGCTCCCTACACTCACTTGTTTTGCAGCACGTGCACACAAGATTTGGCAGAATTTACATGTGCCAAAGCCAACGTAAGGATGTTTCACAAGGTTCATAGAATATGAGCGAGTAGGTAAGGTTTATGAGCCTGACCCCAAAGCCATTGAAGTAAGTGGAACATTATATTGACCCTTGGATCAGACCCCATGAGCAGAGATATGTAAATAGAAGATTACACTAAATTAAGAGTCAGGACCAAAAAATAACACTGGAATTTATCACTTGTATGGATGGTGCTCATGAAAATTTGCTTTTCTACCAAAACCCTTTAACATTAATTGGCTAAAATAAAATCCATTGCTGTCCATACCAAAAGAGTTTTCAAAATCCTCTATTTCTGATACTATCAGTTTGGTCTCTTCTGAGCAATTTAACAGCAAAAGATGGAACTATGTCTACAGCATGCTAACTTTATATAAGCTACTTGTTGTTTTAGACATTTTATTACATACTTTGTCTCCACACTATCCTGTCTTTTCAAGTCCATTGAATTTCTAGGTAAAACCATTAATAAAGAAATTGATGAATGTTCTTACCTCACAGGCAAAATAGTTTCTCTCTCCACTAAAGGGTACTAACGTGTTTTCCACAATTACGTGTTTCACAGATTTTATAGGAAGCTATTAATAAAGTCTGTTTAACCTGCAGACAGAAATTTTTAGCTTTAAATCACACCAAGAATTAGTGTGATGAGGATCACTATATTAATACAGGTAAACATTTTCTTGTATTAAGACTCTTTTTTCTGTTCGTCCAGCGAGGAAATAATTACATATTCTCTCACTTTGAAGTTTTAAATTTAGAATACCCCAACATTTAAAGGAGTTTATGTTTTAGTCTTCCACAACATACGTTTCCAACTCAGGTGATTAGAGGTAATTTCAAACTAGAACATACTAATCTATATGTTGCAGACTGAATTAGACACTTGAAAACAATTCAATTCTACAAAAGGTGTCATGTACCTATGTCATGAAAGTTGCTGAGCACACTAAAATCCCACTGATTTCACTGAAGGTGCTCAGAACCTTACAGGACTGGGACCTTTGAAACAGAAGAATTGTGAGAGTTTTGATTGTAAAGAATCTTACAGAACACAGTAATATTTTGCTATTTGGCTTCAGTACATGACCTACTATGTCAAAAACTCCTTTGGGTTCCACTTGAGCTAAAGGAAAGTCTCCATCCATTTTCTGTAGCAGGGGTAATAGCCTCTTTCAGCTTGTCTTCAGTAGACCTTTTTACCTTGTTAATTGATTGCTGATGAACTTGAGGTCATCAACATCTATGAAAAGGCTATCTTGGACATTCTTCAAATATTTGTTCCTGGCTACAATCATTTTTAATTTATCCTATGGCTCAACCTCTTCTGTGGTCCCAACAGATTTCAAGAGTTGTTTCAGTTATTTTCTGGGTCTGGCTCATTAACCCTTGTTTTTCCACATACAATTCCAGCCTAGAATCCTGAACCTTCCTTTTCCTGTTGGCTCCATATGGGTGTCATATCTTGACATGCAGCTTTTAGTTTTCATAAAAAAAATATATCTCAAAAGTAGTTTGAACTATTTACTATAATATTTTAAAGAACAATTTTACACCTTCAGTAGTGATTATATATTAAGACAGATCTAATCTATGGATCAATATTTACTAATAAAAGGAACCATACATTCCTTGACATTATCTTTATCCATGTTGGAGAAAGATTTTCATCACTGTGCACATGATTTATGCATGTATTTATCACAATTGAGTGTATAAGCACAGAAATTCCATCCACACATTTACAATTAGGCATACTGCATGGTCTGATGGATAGGACACTGGACTGGACTCAGGAAACCTGGATTCTATTTCCAGATCCAGCACTGAGCTGGTGTCACTGTACCTCTCTGTGCTTCTATTGCCCCTCGGTCTTGTCTGTATAGACTATAAACTCTTTTGGACAGGGACTGTTTCCTATTAAATACTTGAATAGTGGGGCTCGGATTTGGACTGGTGTCTCCAACAGCTACTGTAATACAAATAATAATAACTATAATAAATTCAGTTGTATGTGCAGTTACCAAAATGTCACACCTGTGCATCCAGTTATGTTAATTACATGCACAGATTAAACACGCACATTTTCAAACCCCAAATACAAAAATCTGGAGCAATAATCTGAAAAGGAATATCATTTTTAAATCTAGCATTTTCCAGTGAGTAAAATCTACGTGATCACTGTTTAAAAATTTAGCATTTTCCTTAATTCAGAGATTCTCTAAATGGGTTTATTGGATCTGATCCAGTTCCCATGGAAGTCTATGGGATTCTTTTCACTTGCTTAAATGGGCATTGAATCACACCAGTACACTCTAGGATGAGTGATCAAAGAACTGTATCTTCATTAATTTGACTATTTCAATTGATGGTCCCTTTTTAAAATTAGATATTAGTAACTGATTTATGTATGGTTGAAATATAGTACTTTTATCTGTGTGTGTGTGACATTTTGGATCCAAGAACAAATAGCATATATATATGGTAAAAATAATATGGGTATTAGTGCAAAAATACATTTTTCCAACATTTTATTTTCTAACTCAGTGAAATCACAAGAAAAATAGGACATGATTATCATCCTGGAGCATAACAGAGGCACCATATGGATTGAGCAAACAAAAGATAGCATGAAACCAGTGTGACTGAATTAGTTTTCTAAACCAAAGCATAGTTGCCTTAACTACCTTATTTTAGTGAACAACCTTTTTGAAGTTTTCAGTTGAATCAGTCATATTTTGTTATGCCACCTGACTTAACATGAAGTGACGGAGAAAAATAAATGACTCAAGGTGTCTGCAGCCGATCAGTCAGAGAATCAAAACCTTTCGGAAAAGCAGCAATAATAAAATAATGCTTTAGTAGTAGGATACAAAGTTTATAGATTGGACAGGTTGTTTATTTTTTTAGCCTGGATTTTAAATGGCATCTAACAGATATAAATACAAAACTAGGAGAAGGATTTTTTTCTTAACTATTATACTATGTATACAGTTGCTATAAGAAACATTAATTTCTAACTGCTGTTTATAGACATGTTTTATATGAACTTTGGCCCTGATTCAGGAAAGCACTTATGCATATGCTTATGTCTATCCCTATTCAGGACACTACTTAAAAACATGCTTAAAGTTAATCCTATGCTTAAAGTCTATTGACTATATGTTATGCTCTTGAAACAGATCTAGAATACATGAGAAGGAGATGACATATTCACTTTAAAAATACTTTAAACTGAATTTTTAGTACATGACAGGCAAAAATTTAAATATTTTCTTTCTCCACAGAATAAGTACAGCCTGAGCAATGACTGTGCATTCTGCATCAATAACCCTCAATCTTGAGCTGGAGGGACCATCTTTAGGTGAGAGAATGAGGCACTAGTCTGTGTCTGTGGAAGCTAGTGCTATTGCAGTCAATGCGGCTGTGCATAGGCACAGGTCTGTCTACATGGAGCATCATGCAGAAGGCCTGAGTCTGCCTCCATGGCTATTCAAGACTTGGCCTTTCTTTTGAGACTACCAATAATTATACCATATTTCCCAGTACTAACTGGATAGAACTCAGCACCTCATGCGCACAAAACATTGAACAGCCATCAAATGCCTGAAATGACCAGTTTCACTACTTTTACCTCTTGCTGGGTGGAATCACGCAATCCTATCACTTTTGGACTCAAATCTCTGGGATGCAGCACCCTGTTTTCCAGCTGTGTTAAACTAACAGTTCCAATTGTATTTGGCTCCTATCTACCCTTTGTCTCCAGGGACCTGTGACAGGAGCTCATTAAAGTGAGTCACAAGCAACATCTTCAAAACAAAGTAGAATTTAATTGCCAAAGGGAATAAATCATTTAGGAAAATGGATTAACAAAACAAAAAGTTCTATTCGCATATTTCCTCACCTAAATTTAACCTCTCTATCCATAGCTTAAGTGGGTCCAGCGTAGTCTACTTCTCCTAGCTGGAGATAGGAATATCCTGAAGCTCAGCTCTCACTGACATTTTACCGAGGCCAGCATCTTTAGAATTTAGGATCTCCTTTGATCCTAAGCTTTCATCCTTCGTAAGAGTACCCCTTGGCAGGGCCAAGCAGACAGCGTCTTCTGAATTGATGGCCCTGCCATTGGTAACTCCTTGGAAGCTGTTTGCCCTATATGTCTTACCTTTTTCATTGTTTTGGTTACTGTTTCCTTCCCTCTTAACAGCATCTTTGATTTAACACCTAGCAGTCAGATAAGGTAATATCAGGTTAACATTTCTGGAGTGAAATATTTCAGTTTGGTTTTGAAGCAAACTTTTCATTTCAAGTTTTTATTTGTTTATTTTGTATTATAAAATTTAAAAACAGTTTCAGCAACACAAAATGTTCTGATAGATCCAAAATGACTTTTAGGGAGGTATTTGAGGATTTTGAAACTTTCAGATTTTGTGCCAGCCAAATTTGGAAATCTCAAAATCCTTTATGAAAGAGAATTTGTATACGAGTTGTTTCCAAACCGAAATGGCAGCACTGCATACTATTTGATGTAGAATACCCAAAACAGGCTGAAAAGGGGGCATGGTCAAACTCATTGTGCAAGGAGTTGAAATAATTGCATAGTTTGAAACCACCCAAACATTGCATATGGTACAGTCAAGCAAGGATTACAAGTCACTGCTGGCCTGAATAGCAGTAACTTACTATACAATGTGTCATAATAAAGGATGCCCTAAATACACAAACATTTTTTTCAGGGATTGCCACTCTGCAAGCAGGTTGCTAGCCAATGTGCTGGTGCAGAGGAGACAAGCTGACCAGGTGAGTCCTCCTTCAGACTTTGTAAATTATTTTGGGCAGGGACGGTCTCTTTGTTGTGTCTGTACTCGGTCTAGGACAATGGACCCATGGCTCTGTGGCCCACAATACAAATGCATAATCATGAAACATTTAGCAACTTATATGACATCAAATTCTTAATAAAAATAATGTAATTATTATAGAATACCAGTGTACTTGTTGATAAACAAAAACAGGAAGACAGTCCCTGCCAACAAGAGCTTCCAGTCCTGTACCCAACACAATAACACAATTCAAACATGGTTACATGACATATCTTAGCAAGATCTAAATCTAAAACCAAGACAGATAATTAATAATATTTAGTGAATTTTTAATAGTATAATAATCCAAAGCTTTTTTCTAGCAGACTGGTGAAGGGAGGTGCTAAGACTGCATTATTTAGCTATATAAAAGTACATGTATTCATTTGTCAAATATCACTATCACAAAATATTTATTACTAAATTATTCTCATCAAGCTACTTTTTAAAGAGAGGGTTTTGTGATGCCATGCTCTTGATTTCCCTGTCTCATAACTGTTTGCTTACCCAGTTATCAGAGTGAATTTGTGAGATTCTATTATATTCCACATGGTTAATTTGCTCATGTGCACTAGAATAAGTCACTTCCTTTCCAAAACATCTTCTAGTCTTCTTGCCTTTCTATAGTGTAGAGCTGTCTTTTCACTGTACTCAGTCTGGTTCAAGAGCAAAATCAGTACACTGAACAGATCAGCCCACACTTGAAAAAATGTCCAGGTAAAGAAAAATACAGCATGAAATCAAGACAATTGCAGACAATCTTGTTCCAGGGCTGTACAGATAACCTGTTATTTTTCCACATGATTATATTTATTCCATGGTTAAGCCTTGAATGCTACACTCCTAAAACGACAAATTAAAATGAATGTGAAACCACAGCATTGATCGTATCGCCAGAACATCTTGCAGTTGGGCCTCTGCTGGATTCTGAGACTATTTCACAGGATACTGTGGGGTTAAATATGTGCAGAAATCTTAAAACTGCAGGGGATCTTCCTCTGCATCTAGGAAGCTCTAGTGACAATTTCCCCCCCTAGACACTGAGAGGATTATATCAAATATATTAATGTGAATTACTGTATATTTTACCATCAACTACTGTCCCTATGTAATTTCTCCTTCCTCCCCCTTCACACATGCACAGACTTTGACCTCCTATAATACACTTGGAGTGCTGTTGACATCTGGGCTGAAAAGGGTTTGAAATGGAGATGACCAAAATTGATAATATGGGCAGGCCAATCCATTTCTAAGCTCCTTCTCTACACTGCCTTTTATGTTTGTAGATCTACTCAGGGCGTGTGTACACTTAAAATGCTACAGCAGCACAGCTGCACCACTGTAGCACTTCAAATGTAGACACTACCCATGCCGATGGGAGAGTAGCTAGGTTGATGGAAGAAGCCTAGCATTGTCTACATGGGGACTTGGGTTGGCTTGACTATGCTACTCCAGGGTGTGGATTTTTCACACCTCTGAGCAATATAGATATGCTGACCTAATGTTTTAGTGTAGCCCTTACTCTGCCTCTCTCAAAACACACAAACACAGCTCCTTTGTTTGCTTCCATTTTGTGTCTGCAGTCAACATGCACGGTGTTTTTCTGAGGGAGTTTCCTCTCATGTTGGATGGGATTCCACAATGCAGCAAGTATGAGCGTAGGAAATTTTACTTCAGCTAATAAATCCAAACTTTTCCCTCTAGCAGGAAAGATATTGAAGAGGCAGATAAAAAGGTTTTTGTTTAAGATTTTGCCATTGAACTTTATTCCCAGTTTTGAGTTAAGTGAATGAGTCTTGCGCAAAAGCTTAACAAGTATCTCAAAGCGTATGTTGAATCTTATTGAGTCATTTTATGTTAGAACATGAGGGTCTACACTTAAGGGTGGTTTTAATAACAAGGACCTGGATTTTCAAAGTCTGTAGGGACTTTGGTACCGAACAGGTACAACTGGTATTCTGCCCCTTAAACTTATTTGAAAACCCCAGGACTTAGTTGTGCTGGGTGTTGATATTTTGTTTGTTTGTTTTGTCATTTAGATACAGAAATTTGATTCTTAACATTAAGGGGCTTCATTCTCCTCTCACTGGTGTAAATCAGGAGTGGTTTCATTGAAGTTAATGGAGTTGCACCCCTGTAAAACTGGCAAATCAGGACATGACAATCTACCTGAAGGTGTCAGTTTAACCAGGTTTTGGAGACTCCGGTAGTTCTGTATACCGGTTATTGGCCCAAGATTTTGTTATTGGCAACTTCATTGGCACTCTGGGGCTGTTATCTTACCAGACACCCTTGAAAATAGTGGGCTTGATTGTCCATTTACTTACAATGGTGTCAATCGAGTCAATCAGGAGTAATTCCACTGAAGTCAATGGAGTGATGCTACTGTAGAACTGGACTGAGTGATGAATCAGACCTAACATTTTATATTTCTAAGTTGTCTTTCTGCTATAATGTATAAATGTACACAAAATTATATGTATTTTAAAGCAAAAATTAAAAAGTGACTACAACTTTTACATCTAGTCTGTACCATATATGTTTAAAAGCCAGAGGAAAATACACCTGCATACTTTTTATTTATTTTTATTCTTTTTACAAGTATAGTCAAAGTGTCTCTTCTGAAATCTCTTCTCATATCACTTTAACACACTGTCATTACAGGTATCCAAGTGGATGCAACAGGTAAAAGAGAATGGAGAAGGGAGAGCTATAAAAAGTCTGCTAAAAAAAAGCAGAGGACAAAACTAAGTTATCTGGGCTGTCACATTCTTAAAGTAAAATCTCATCACTCTAAGTTTAATGGTTCTTATTAAGTGTGGTTAACAGCTAAAAATGGTGAACTATGTTCATCTCTCCAGTTTTGGCAGCAGTCACTGCACATAGTAATAAAAATAGAAAGAATTATGGTTGGGTTTTTTCCCGTTGAATGGAGTTATTTGTCACCCATTAACTTAAAGTTTAAAGCACTGTTCATTAATAGACTGTCATTGATGTGTGACTCCATTACCAAGGTTCGTCAAGATGTATATTTTCCATTTAAAGCTGCCAATCTGTTTGATATGGAGACATTTACTTCATGTCCATTCAGTGTTCAACTCTGTTATGCTGTCAAGTTAGGTATGTTTTGTTTTGTTTGTGTCTCTTCTGCTTAGTTTTCAGGTTCCTGTAGATGTACAGAGATGTCCTCAGACTGCACATTTGACTTATAAAGTGGAAAAATATCAACAGCCTAAGGGTCAAATTATGGTAACTTGGTATTCTCTTCTGGATTATCTCTTGCAACTCGTGTCAAATCTCATTTATGCATGTGGGAAGAGGAAGGAGAAGAAGAGAGGGAACACATTCCAGAAAGTATAGATGGATGATGCTAAATACATCTGACAACCACTCAAGCTAGCAACCTCCTTGCACTGTCCTCGTCTAAAAAATGAGCAACCCAAAGAGCAAGAGCTCTGAGGCATAAGTGGTTCTCTGAATTACAGAAAAAACATTCCTTCTCATGCAGATTTGAAGTAATCCTGTCATGATCTGGTGCTGAGCATCATAACTCCTTGAGTTCTAGGCTGCCCAGAAGACTGGAATGGTAAAGCCCACTGTTTTATTTGTTCTATGAAATTGCCTAAATTTAGTTATTTCACAGATATCCTGAGCCTTGTATATATGGGGAGATGAGTGATTTGGAAATGGAGTTCTGTGATGTGTTGTTATACACAGGTACCATTAGCTGAAACACTATGGCCAAAATCATAGAACCTGATTCACCCCGGTGTTAATCCTGTTGAATACCAGTGGTGGCTCAGGCCCACAAATGACAGGGATTCCCCCCTGTGAAACCTACAACATACACTAGCTCAGAAGTGTTTGAGAATACTGAGAAATTCCTTCAAAGGATATGGTATGACTCTAAAGGATCCTCTCAAGGAAACTACGGGAATTCAAAACATTATCAAATGGCACTCAGTGGTAATTTTCAAAAGCATCACAAAATTATTGGCTGAATGGATTTTATCCCAAAATTAGCAATAGTGGCCAGAAGCACACCTGAAACAGATATGAAATATGACATACAATAAATCATTCCTTACAAACTGCTAAGTACTGATCTGCAACGGTCTTTCAGAACTTAGTTTGCTGCATCTAAGTGCAAAATACATGTAGCAATAATCAAGTGGCAGGATACTGTATTTTAGCGTTTTGTTAACTTTTTTTAAAAATGATTTCCCTGTACTTTTACATCAGTATACTGACATTTTATAATTATTTTATAATATGTTATAACTTTCCTTTAGCTAAGCCCCCTCCCTAATTAAAAATGAGATAAAGCTGAAGTATGACTGATACTCTTAGTCATGTTTATGCTGTCTGCAGCTTTCTTCAATACTTTTGTGATGTGCTTATAGTTTAAAAATCAACCTTTACTGATTACTTACTAGCACCAAGATTTTAGCAATGGTAGCTGCACTTACAATGGGTAGAGTGCATCTGGTATTCCTTCTTCTCAATACACGAGAATCTACAAATTTGCAAAATGTATCAATAAACAGATATAACCAATGCTTTGTAAGAATGAGAGAACAAAACTGATTGCCATTGTTCTAGAGTTGGTGACAATCCATGGCATTGTATGCACTGTACAAATAGAGTAATATGCTGATATTAATATACAGTATGCACTGTACAAATATATAATATGCTGATAAAAAAAGTGCTTTTTACCATGTCTCCATTGACTATACTATCCAGGAGGGTAAAGAAGTCCAGCAAAGCAGGAGAGCTGAATACAAAAGGCCCAGTCCAGTTTCTGATGATGTCAGTGAAAAGACTTCTATTGACTTGAGTTGGAGCTGGATCAGGCCCAAAGAAAGAGACAGGGGTTTGAGAGAAATGGAAGAGAATAAGCTGGAAAGTGGGTAGGACAGAAAAGATACAATAAAGTGCGCTATGCATTTGGAAGATTCATTCTCTCACAGTAAGGCTTCAGAGAGGAATGTGGGACTGAGGCAGCAATCCTGAGGAAGCCCCAGGCTCCCAGGAAATTTGAACATAGTTGGAACAGTAGGTCTGTACAGCATACAACAGTAGAATGTAAAAACAAGAGACTTTCCCAAGGGCTTCTTCTGGGAGCTGGAATATAACTGACATCAAGTAAATATACATTTATAAATCAAGAGGATTCAGTGAAGGTGAGTAGGGTAGTATGTCCTACTTCCAGGGAATCTTGACCACTACAGGGTGGGTGAGTGATTCAACCGCCATTTTCCTTGTGACCTGAATGAACAGGAGCCATTTCTCTGTTCCGCCTCTATTTTATATAAAGTCAGTTTCACAAGTGATAATCCTGAGGCTTAGGAGGCCGATGCAAGGGCCAGAGAAATCCCCTGAGATCTGCAGCCTAAGGAGAACAAATGTCAACAGGACTTAACTGAGTAGTTACTGGATTCTACCATCCAACTGCTGTCATGAGGGGAGGAAATGAAAGACAGGTGAAAAGACTTCCTCCTAACAGCTTATCGTCAAGGGAGTAGATATATGGTTTCCACCAGACAGGCACCTGTCTCCTTAACAAAGATGTCTCACCCTTGAAGGCGAGTGACATGGTCAGGAAGTCATGCAATGTGAAGGGTGGGAAATTTACCAAAATACTCTAAACTTTAAAAAGCGTTTGAGGGTTGTGTGAAAGTCTGACGTAATTTAGATGTTGTGAAGATAAACACGACTAGGAAGAACAGCTATTTTTTCTGTCAGTAAGATTCTTAGGATACATTCTACATTCATTGTGCATATGGAATTCCAGTTGGCATCAATGGGGGTTTTGCACCAAGACGAAAGGGACACCGTGACAAGAAAATATCGTCTTCCACTATCGTCAAGACAGCAAAAGGATTTAAAAAAAAATGTTTAGAACACATCATGCCTCCGAATGAAAATACTCTTGATCCTGTAGTTGTAATGATTTACTATATTAATTGAAAGAAAAATGGGAGGGTCATCTGCTTTCTGGTGTCCTGCTATTTAATTTCTATTCTTACAAAGGTAATTCAGGAAGAAGCTAGAGGCGATTAGCTTCAATATGACTTAGCAAAGAGGGAATCTTTATAAGAATGATTCTTAGCAATGACTGCAAATGAAATTTAGCTATCCAGCTATCCATTATCCTGAATAGGTGACTAATTTTGTTTAATTAAGAATGCAGTAATTCCCTTTGAAGTCAATGGGAATCTTTTAATTCACCTCAATGGGCATTGAATTGAGCCCTTATGTCCCATAGATTTTAATTAGGTTGCATTTCTGTATCTGACTGCAGAATCTGGCTCATTATGGCATCTGGTTCTGCTATCCTTACTCATTTTGAGTAGTACCTTTCAGTGGGACTATTTCTATAGTAAGTTACTTCTCAGCATGGGAAACCAGAAACTGGTGCTAACTTTGGTTTTCTGAAGCTGAGAAGGCCTGACAAAGGTGAAGATAATTGAAACTAATGTAGGTGGATTGGCAGGCTGATTTACATAATTTACTTAAAATGTTTTTTTCATCCCCTTCCAATGTACACTTACTCTCAGACAACAGGATAAAAAGATCTGCTCTCAGTTTAAATCTGGGATAGTTCTTCTGACACCAATAGTAATTCAGATTTACACCATCATATCTTAGAGCAGAGTTTAACCTGTTCTCAGGTCATTTAAATAAATTAATTGTTATCCATGAAATTTACAATAACCAGCTGCTAATGTTGCTGTTAATACAAAATCACGACTGAGAAGTGAGAGCAAAGGTGATCTAAAGGTTCAAGATACACAAGAAAAACTACAGCAAAAACAATGACTGTTCTATCTTATGAATAATAATTTTACTGTGGCCAAAAGTACACACAGCATTTTTCAGACAGACAAAGAAAAAGGCATGGTCCCTGTCCTGAGGGACAATCTTGCAATCTACAGTTAGAAATGATGCAATGAGTGGGGACAAACCCTAAAGGAAGCCTTGGCAGGAGCATGGAACTGGAAGAGACCTCACAGAGCATCAAGTCCAACCCCCTACTATTAAAGTCCAGTCCCCATCATATAATCTAGGTCATACATTTATCAAGCTCCATCTTCAAAATTGATGAATCCCAAGATGCACAATTCACATGGCAGCCCTCCAAAACTTAAGCATAAACGTGTTTCTTTCTAAACCAGGTCCTTAATGATAGAAGAGGGTGCAATGAACTTCTCCTGTCCTTGACCCCTGTATAGTATATGGGTAAAAGTCACACTACTTGGGCTCAGAGACCATACAGACTATGCAAGTATAGCACTACCCATGCCAATAGACTCCTTAAGGTGGCCAGGAAGAGGCAGGGAGAGGACTGGGCTATGTCCACCTCCTTCTACAGGCCATTCACATTACCTCCTTTATGTGAGAAAGCACACTTCACCCTTTCAAATGGTGTCACAGGAGCTATGCTCCAAGAGTCATTGTACTTTTCTGGTGCTCAATGCCACCAATACTTCAGATAGAGCAATAAGCCTCAGTACCAACTCCCTCATAAGCTGTGTAAGACCACCCACCATCCATCTGGTCCTTGCTCCGTTGCAGGAGGTTTCAGGATGCAGCTGCATAACTCAGTACAAACAATGGACTTGAAAAAACAAAAGTAAAAAACAGACAAACTTCTCCCAAGTCCGGTTGCACCCTCCTCCACAGCAAATGCTGAGAAATTAAGTTAAAATACCAATAGGCTGACACTGGTGTATGTAAATATATTATGTTTTGGAGAGAGATTATTGCATAAGGGAATTCTTCATTAAAGGCAGCCTGCAAAGCTAAAATATAAAAGAGAAGTATTTCTGCTGGCATACTTGTTTCTTCCAGGACCCCCTTGGAAATGACACACTATCTCAATAGGAGATTCTCCTGATAAAACAATACAAGAGTGAAATTCACAATAGTACCTAAATCACTAAGGAATTCAAGTCTAATTAATTTTCATTGGTACTTTTGCTCCAAAGTGACTTAGATGCTTTCAAAATCCCACCCAAAATGAGCATTTTAATAAATGGCCTAGGATGGATAACAATTTAGAAATTTAGAACTAAATCTTAATATTGACTTCAAATGGGAGTTGTCAGGGTATCCCCCCACTCTGAACTCTGGGGTACAGATGTGGGGACCCACATGAAAGCCCCCTTAAGCTTATACTCTACCAGCTTATGTTAAAACTTCCCCAAGGCACAAATTCCTTTCCTTGTCCTTAGATGGTATTGCTGCCACCACCAAGTGATTTATACAAAAATTCAGGGAAGGGTCATTTGGAATCCTATCCCCCCCCCTCAAATATCCCCCCAAGCTCTTTCACCCCCATTCCTGGGGAGGCTTGAGAATAATATACCAACCAATTGCCTTAGCAATGTGAGCACAGACCAGATCCTTTGTCTTCAGGATACTGAAAATCAATCAGGTTCTTAAAAGAAAACTTTATTTATAAAGAAAAAAAAGAATCACACCTGCAAAATCAGGATGGAAGGTAACTTTACAGGGTAATAAAAAGATTTAAAAACACAGAGGATTCCCCTCTGGGCTCAGCTTCACAGTTAAAAAAAAAAGGGAATAAAACTACCTCTGTAGCATAGGAAAATTCACAAGCCAAAACAAAAGATAACCTAATGCATTTCTTTGCCATACTTACAATTTCTGTAGTTTTAGATGGATTATTCCAGATATATTTTCAGGAGATATTATACCTGCTTGGCTTCTCCCTCCGTCCCGAGAAGGAACAACAAACAAATCCTTCCCGCCCAGATTTGAAAGTATCTTCTTTTCTCATTGGTCCTTCTGGTCAGGTGCCAACTAGGTTATTTGAACTGCTTAACCCCTTACAGGTAAGGCAATCCAGGACAGTTGCCAAGGATACATAAGGTTGCTACCCTTCCCCCTATTCATGACAGGAGTTTTGCCTGCACATGGACAACAGAACTTTGTCAAAATTCCCCACATAATGGGTCTGATTCTCACTTACACCAAGGCCTCTTTATACCACTCTGGCAGCATAAAGGGGTCATAGAGTATTTGCAAGTGGTGTAATTTAACAGAATAGTGTAAAAGAGCCTTCTCGTGTAAACAAGAAGCAGGCCTTTAAAAAAAATCAGTGGGTGATTTGGCTAGAAGAGGTCTGCAGAATTGGTCCCTCTATCCCTCAGCACCAGTTTTTGGATAAAGCGGATAACTGTTTTTCTGTGTTCACATCTCTGGTGTTTTATGCTTTCAGAAAACATTAAACATAATCAATGGAATAAAGAAAATAGGCTTGCAGGAAATTTGGAAAGTCTAGAGAGTACTTCATGGAGTACAATTAAGCTTGAGAGAAATTCATTAACCTTAGGAGCCTGTATAAAGCACAATAATATTTAGAAGACCATTAACTGAGCCAAAAGCTAATTAAGTATTAACATGTTCTTTTAAGTTAGAAATGACCAGCTTCCTTTGCATTCTGAATCTTTATCCCATCTACTCCTGTATTTGGCTGAACTAGGTTACGAGCCCTCCTCAGCAGTGTATCTGCTAAGCAGCAACTGTTCTTGTATGTATGTGCTTTTTTTTTTAAAGTGCCACTCTCATAATTACAGTGCTCTATAAAAGTTTCAAATCTATGCTAATAGGTCATTAAAATATATGGAACACTGTTTATAATTCAATTGCTGTTG